AAAAAGAAAGCAGCTGTAGAAGATAGGAAGAGAAAGGGAGAGAAAGAAGGCAGAAAAGATGAAGAGAAAGAGAAAAAGAGACTTGAAAGAGTGGCAAACAAAGAGAAAAAGGACAAGGAAAGAGAGGCTAAAAGGAAGGCTAATGCTGACAACAAGCAAAAAGGAAAGGGCTTGAAGAAGAGGAAGACTGAGGTTGTGGAGAATGAGGGAGAAAGTGATCAGGGTGACTCGGATGCAATTGAGTAGGCCTACATGGACAGTTCAGATGAGGAATGCATGGAAGTTCTTGAGCGTATGAGGTCTGAGTATGATGAGAGTCGGTGTTTTGAATGTGGGAATGACAGGGACTTGGATGGATGGATCGGGTGTGACTGAGTGCATGACAAACAACGTAGAGGTCAATGGATGGAGGTAAGTTTGTTACTTTTGTGTATAATTGATGTTTATATAATGTGGCCGGTATAGGGGAAACGGGTGGCTGGTAAGAGGCAAATACTCCACCGACCGGCCGGTAAGGGGCAACACTTGGGTCCTTCGAAATGCTATGTATTTTTGTATAAACATAACTCTAAAGAACCAATCTGGCAGTTGCCTCTTATCGGCCAAAGGCCAAGGATTATTTTGAAACATCTTTTTACAACATGGGTTTCAATTTATGGTAACTGGGTCAGTTTTTATCCCAAACTTCCGGTAACAAGCCACAGACGCGCGGCAGACGGCGTTAGGCGGCTGGTAATAATAATAATAATAATATATAACATTTATAGAGCGCATTTCCAAAAAAAGTAGCTCAATGCAATGGTAAGGGGCAAGTAGACTTAGAATCTAGAAAGGAACATCGCGGTAGACGACCAAATGGGCTGGTACAAAATAATTCTCCTCCGGGCTTCATATGTATAAAACAGTTAAGCACATGATGCAAAAATAAGAGCAAACTAGATCTAGATTCTAGATCTAGATATCTAATCTAGATCTAGATATAGATCTAGATATTAGATTCTAGATCTAGATTCTAGATCTAGAATAGCTACTAAAATATTTTTAATGCGGCCGACAACAGATAACCAGAGACCAGAGATAGAGAGTTCCTTACCTTCTTTCTGTGGCGTAGGCAAGATGATGTAGATCTAGATCTAGAATCTAGATGTCTAGATCCAGATCTAGTCTTACTCGGCAGGGACTCTACTGTCTTTCTCAGCAACATCCTGAATGATCTATTCAGAGCCACCACGCTCATAGAATCGGAATCTACTCCTCTCTTTTCCATTTCAACAGAATTTACGCGGGCTCGGAACTCGGAACTCACTCGGAACTCACTCGGAACTCGGAACTTCGCATGCAGGGAATTCTGGGTTTTATTTTACAAGGCTACAGCACAAGGGATGTAATCATGTTAATAAATCTAGGCTACTGTCCTAATCGAGGGAGAGTTACAACCCTTCTTTCCCCTCTGCGGTTGGCCCTTAGGCCTTGGCTACGTTGCGGTTCTGCGTTCCCTTGTGATTGTGGCAGATCCAGTTCGTTTTGTATTTCTCTGACAATTATTATATTTTCACGATGAAAGGAATAACGGTTCTTATTAAACGAAGTTGATCTTTTCAATCCTTAATGTTTTCCATTGTCTGTCTTTTACCTGTTCCGTGAGATAGGCCTACCACGACTTTTAAAAAAGCAAGGAAAAAGGTCAGCGGCCGCACCCCTACAGTCTACAGAGACTAGGCTAGATATCTAGATCTAATAGTAATAGTCTTGAATAGTTCATCCATCAGCATCTGTAGGGAAGAATATTTTTTTCTAAGTGAAGTTGAAGAAATAAAGATTACCGTAACTGGGGCGACGTTGGTCACTTTTCTGGCAAACTGTTTTGATAACTACTTATGCATTTTTACAAATTTGGGGATAAATTCACGAGGAAAGATGGAATGCATTGAGTGAGTGCTTTTCTCTTACCCTTTATCTCATGTCTAGATAATTATAAAGCAATTTGTATGGTGGCCAAAGCCACCCCGCTCTGGGGTGACTTTGGTTGATTAAAATAAATTATGTAAAACTTGTTGTGAAATTGGCTACTGAAATAACTATAAGTGGTCCTTCTGTGATTATTTGCAGCCCCAATGTATGATAATTCTACCAAGGTTAACATCTGTTGGGTTTATGTATATGACAATCTCACTGCATGCTATATAATAAGCGGGAGGAATTCCCTAACCCTACCACAAACCTAAACCTAAACTAAACCCTAATCCTACCCCTCTGTTCTACTCTGTCTCATAAGTTTGTGGTTGCTCGTTACGGAAGTCCTCCCAGGGTTAGGGTTTGGGGGTAGGGTTAGGGTCTCTTCTTTATTGTGTTTGTTCGGGTGGTCGCTCGAAGTTTTTCACCCCAAAATGTTTTAACCACATATGATAGCTTAGAAACCTCAGCAGATCAATGCCAAGATTTCTTAATCATTGACTAACTACATTTTCTAAATCATCACTTTGGGATAATAAATACTATAGAACACGTGTAAAGAAGTAGGTTAAGCCATAAAAAACACAATTTATCAAGACTTGAAAATTTTCTGCCAACAGGTAGAAACTTACATCTAAATCTAGGCTCTAGATTCTAGATCTTTTTAAAGATATTGGGAAATTCCCGGCTCGAAATTAGCATTTAATTCCTTTCTTGGGGAATGAAAAAGTACAGCGAAGACGCATATAGATCTAGATCTAAAGATATAGATCTACATGTAATAAGTCCTAGGACAAATCCAGGTGGCAAAGTCACTTAGGCCACCCCTGCCCCAGCCACAAATATTGGAAAGTAGATATCTAGATATGTATCGACTACTCAGTATTGTCAATGATAGTACATAACAAGATGGTTCACTCAGCCAAAAAAGTGTCCGCAGGAAGTATGCTCTTTGCTTCAGATGGCACTGCAGTCTGTTTTGAAACTCTCTTTCGTTTTTCCAGAAGAAGAATAGGAATAGCACCTCCTTGCGTGCGCAGATCGACTGCTGTTCATCAGCAGTTCGGGTACGTTCAGTGCGTAGTTTTAGGTTTTTTTTTATTTTAATGACCTCTCGCCTTTCATTCTAAAGTCAAATTAAACGAAGAAAACCATCACCCTTTCCTCCGGAAAAGGTTTTTTGTCAGCGTAACCATTAAAAAAAAGCGTTCTTCCGAAATTTATCCCAAAATATGCTAGCTTCACTTTGATTTTTAAAAACTCAAGTAGGGTAACTCTGTTCGCAAAGAGTGCGCTTTTGTGAAGAGGGCGCCACCAAATTTTGAGGACACTTTTTTAATTGGCTCAAAGAGAGAAGTGGCCCATCTTGTTATGTACTATCATTGGTATTGTTAGTGTTACAGTTCCTTTACTCTTGTCTGAGTGATAGTGGTCGGCCTAATGAACACATAAGCTAGATCTAGACTAGGCTACTCACCAAATCATTCCAACACCTTTCAAATTCAAAAGATAAGGCCTATCAAAAATAAGAAGCAACCATTGAACTAGCTGATATATCCGCACAAAATGCTTCTGCTGAACTGTTTTGGGGTAGATCTAAAAAGGTTTTTTTTTCCTTAGCCTAGATCTTTATCCTTTTTCATTTTCGTTTGTCCGCGCTAAAGAAAATTCGCTCATTTATTATTGTAGGCCTACCTAGCCCGGACCAAGAGTCAAGTGCCCACAAAACTTTGCATGGCATTTAGCAGGCCAGCGACCAAATGAAGGAAAAAAAATTAAATCTTGATCCAGTAATGATCGAAAAAGTTCTTTCTCTTTGTGCCCTATATTGAAAACCGCACATTGGTACAAAAGTTACTAACAAGAAACCTTGCCCACACATTGCTCATTTTGAGACAGCGACACCACCCTGCCCCCATATTTCAGTACAGACTTATAGATCCCCCCCCCCCCCCCCCCCGGCTGTCTTGACGTCTCCACGTGGTCCACGTGAGTCCAAAAGATTACTCATCCCGTCTCTTGAATCGCACGTTAAAGTGTGTGGTGTTGAGAAAAATGTGTCTACTTTTAGATCAAATTTTTAAGTGTATGCTGTAAATCCTCTTAATATTTTTTGACCTGCTTACTTTAAGCTTACACTTACATTAAAGAAAATGTGTAGGAACTTCAGTTTGCAGTGACCTTTATGAATGGACTTTAAGAATCTGTTGGTCATCCAACTTTTAGACACGTAAGCAAAGGTCTGAGAAGTTGAAACAGAGCGATTTTCCTTAAGGATAAAGAAACATAATTTAGAATGTTATGTTTCTGAGATCAAAATGTGTTTATGATGAATAGCCAAAGTCACCCCATGTGGCCATAGTCACCCTGGTTTACCCGACAAGATGATTTTAATGGGTAGATCCATCTACGATTTGAAGTAGCCAAGGCCCAAGGTCGTACATGTATAGATCTAAAAATGGGGGCTATCGTAGCCAAGAGGTTATGGTGTTTGCCTCTCCTTCGATAGGTCCCGGGTTCGAATCCGGATAACGACTGAAAATTTTCTTCTGTAAAATTTTCTACTTTCACACCCTTTCCTGCTCTCTAACAAGGTTTTATGGGTTGCTACTTTCATCTCCACTTTCTGCCCCCACTCCCTCACCTCCTTTGCCCCCTCCTCTAGGCTCCTGGCTCTTTCTGCAGCCTTTCTACTGCTCCACCTTGGCTCCTTCTTACTGCTGTCTTTCAGTCACTGCACCCCTGATCTTATGACAGGAAAGATCTACACCTCGCTTTCTCGGACAAGGGTGAAAAATCTCGGAGGTCCCGTGTGCAACTTGCGCCCGTTAAAGATCTCTTGGTGGTCCAAAATCGATAAGAGTAGGCTTCGGCCGTCACCTGGGCAAAATACAAAATTTCCTATCAACTGAAAATGTTTAATGTGTCCCTTGCTCTTTTATGACCTTATGCAGTTGTGAGCACCGTAAAATACTTACCAAATTAAAAAAAAACCCAAAAAACAAATTTTCTAGATATTAAAACTAGGAAATAACACAACACTTTAAAATTTGAGAAAAGAAGTTTAATCAGCAGCTGAAAAGCCATAATGTGCAGAGACAAGGTAATTTTCATTAACCCTATCCGTATGTCGTGTTTTACTATCGTATCCATACGACGTGGGGAACTAAGTGCCACCACTTTCTAAAGAAGAAATTTACTTGTTAATCCGATCTGCTTTGCATAGCAGTCTGTCAAAATGATTTTATTAGAAATACTGAAAGTTTCAAAGAGATCTTGGCACTAGAAGTATTCACAATAAGACCCCAGGGCGTACGGATAGGGTTAAAATAGTTCGTTGAATGTTAGCAGCGTACATATACATCATGTGTCATGTGCTAACGCAACTGTCATTGTTTATTTGTTTGTTTCGTTTTTTGGGGTCAAGGTACCGAAATAACGAACGCTTTAGTAGGCCCCAAGTAGGCCTAACCGGTAACTCATTTTCCTCACTCAGAAAAAAATTTCCAGTCTTGAAATGTGCTCCCAAAACGGATGTAATTATGATGAAGTTGCTTTTGTTTTGGAAAATACTGAATGGACGCCCCCTCACCACTCACCACTCCCAACCAACATACCCTACCTTTTTGTGCAGTTTTTAACAAGGCACTAAGCACACTTTTACTTTTCAGTCGGAGTCAAGGAAAACCACCTTAGTTGGTCACTTTGGAGAGGTTTTTTGAATATTATTCTACATAATAAGGATGATCACAAGGAAGAAAAGCGACCAAGGGATTTGACAACACTTATTACTTAATGTGCAGCCTTTATAAAATTCATAGGCGAATGCGTAAAGAAGAAAAAAAATCAACTAGATCTATTCAAAATCAATTCAACAATAGTGCTCGTCCATGCCCGCGGTCAGTTCAAGAGCGCTGTTGTTTACACTTGCTTTTACAGAGAGTTTAAAAAAAAATAAATAATCGCATTTCACTTTTTTTCTGCTTCCCTTGGCGTTCTTTCGGGAGTGTCACTTGCATAATTCAAATTGCATCAGTGTTCAACCAGAATCATAATAGGATATAATGGCTCAATGACTTTTAGTGTTCACTCCGATCTTTTTTTTTCACTTGTGTCTTTGAGTCTATGATAACTCAAAATCTTTCTCCAGTAATTGCTACGGTACGATGTTTCTCTGACCCACCCCAGCAATAGACCATGTTGTGATGAGCTCCAAACCCGACGACGTTCTTCCGTAAGTTCAAGTAGGCCTAGTTTGTTGGATAAAGGAATGTATCCAGTCAACAACAGCTGTGATCTTGGTATAGATGGCAGGGACGTTGACCTGGCCACAGGGATTTGGACCAGACGAAATGACGCCTGCAAGGTACAATATCTGTTCTTCCGCGTCGTCTGCATTTGGTAAAACATTAGACTGTTGTAACTCCTCACACATAAGAGGGCCACCAGAATCCCCCTGAAATGAGATTGATTGATTGTTATGCTATATAGCTTACATGTTACACTAGCCTAAACTGGGGAGCATGCACATAATTCGAAATATGCAAGAGGCTGTCTGAAAAGCAAAACGAGAATGGGCAAAAATAAAATGGTACAGTACCGGTAATAGCATTTTCACAAACTGCCAATGGTGTCAAAGGCAAATGTATCGCCTACTGGGTGTTGCAATATCAATTTTACACCAGAACATTATATGCAGCTACGTCGTAAACCGTGGATTAAGTCTTTGTTTTCGTCAACCTTTTGCCGTCCAAATTTTTTTGGAGAGGTCCAAAGAGTTGGTTGTCAGAAGGAGTCAAATCAGAATTATGGGGCAAATGTGTCAAATCCCTTAATACCCGTGAAGCCAATATTTAGTCAAGTTTGCGGAATGCGAGTGATGTTGTCATGCTGCAGAGTGAAACTATTACTCGGTCGTCCTGGTCTCCTATGTCGTAGGCCCTACCGCTCCTCAAACTTACATTCTATTTCCACTCAAGTATTATGTGCATCCATCTGCACCATGTTGTTTTATGATGTTGAAGTTTGTGGCCGCCTCCAAACAAATTGCACTAAATAAGTGATATAGCGGACGCGTTAAAAAAACAACAACTAATTACATGCTATAATGTAGCCACTAATTTAAAGTGAATTTTAAATTATTTGTTCTTTTTGTGCTCCAAAAACCGAATACATTGTAGCAGCTTGAACTTCAATCTTTGGCCATTCTCTAATGGTAGCCGTCATGTTTTTGGTGCTGTCACAATAAGATGCATCCATTTATTCATGGTGCAGTTAGATAATAATAATAATAATAATAAATAGCATTTATACTGCGCATTTCCATTTCCTAAAAGATGCTCAATGCGCATTACAATGAAAAAGACATCACATCTTAAAAATTAATCGACACAAATGTGTACGTAAAACAAAGTATTATACATATAATATAAATGCATATGTGTAAAATTTT